AAAGAACCCCACAAAGTGGGTACCCCCTGGGTGCAGAAATCCAGAGACAGCTGAGACAGCGCCGTTGTCTTGCCTGCCCCCGTGCCCCCCGTCCATACACTCAACTCACCACGACGGAAACCACCTGAGCAGCAGCAGCAGCAGCAGCAGCAGCAGCAGCGGCACCAGCAGCAGCAGCAGCAGCAGAAGCAGCAAAAGAGGCGGGAGGAAAGGGAGCAAAATGAGAGAAATAGAAGCAAAAATGGCAGCAGCAGCAGCAACACACAACACAGAAACAAATGTATAACAGCAGATGCAATGACAGCAGCAGCAGCAGCAGCAGCAGCAGCAGCAGCTGTTGCTGCTGCTGCAGCTGCAGCAAGTGGAAGGGAGATGCAAAGCAGAGCATTTCAAGAGTGTATAGACTGCTGCTACTCCTTGTCTTGCTGCTGCTGCTGATACCCCTATTCCTGCGCATTCTTTTGCTGCTGTTATTCCTGCTGCTGCTGCTGCTGCTGCTGTTGCTGCTGCTGCTGTTGCTGCTGCTGCTGTTGCTGCTGCTGCTGCTGCTGCTGCTGCTGCTGCTGCTGCTACGTGTTTGTCTCGATTCAGGGGCGGGACGCACCCAAGATGGAGGTGAAGGCCGGCAAAGTGACGCTCTGAAGACCTCGCGTAGCTGCTGCAGCAACAGCAGCAGCAGCAGCAGCAGCAGCAGCAACAGCAGCAGGAAAAGAATTAGCAGCGCAAGCGACAGCAGCAACAAACAAACAGCAGCAGCAAGCCAGCAGCAGCAGCAGCAGCAACAGCAACAGCACGACCACACAGCAGCAGCACACAAAAGGCGTATATGCAACACGAGACGCACCAACAACAGCAGAAGCGACAGCAGCATCAGCAGCAGCAGCAGCAGCAGCAGCAGCGCCGCCAACATCAACACCATCACCACCACCATCACCACCACCGCCATCACAACAACCACCACCACCACCGCATGCATGCATGCATGCATGCATCCATGCATGCATGCATGCATGCACCGCGCATCAATGCATGCATGCATCCATGTATACATGCATGCACAGATGCATGCATGCATGCATGCATGCATGCATGCATGCATGTACCTGGTTCAACGAGTTCGTGTAGTACTTTAGCTCTGAGGTCCTGAAAGGTGAGGATTTGTTGGTGGGGGTATCGGCGAGCCGCCAGCAGCAAAAGTTTAATATTTATGCCCCGCAGCAGACATTCATTTGCATCTTTTGGTATATTAAACTCTTCTTCTTCCTGCTGCTGCTGCTGCTCCTGCTGCTGCTGCTGCTGCTGCTGCGGCTGCTGCGGCTGCTGCTGGTGCTGCTTCTGGTGCTGCTGCTGCTGCTGCTGCTGCTGCTGCTGCTGCTGCTGCTGCTGCATGTGCCGCAGCAGCTCGTCTGTACACCGCACAACGTGGCAGCGGCTGATACCTAATTTGGAGGCCCATAGATCCGCCCCTTCTCGCCCCGCTCTGTCTTCGTCAAACCACTGCAGCAACACAGCAGCAGCAGCAGCAGCAGCAGCAGCAGGAAGAACAGTTGCAGCAATATGAGCAACAGATGCAACAGCAACAGCTGCCGTAGAACCACCAGCAGCAGCAGCACCATCAGCAGCACCATCAGCAGCACCAAACACACCATCATCATCAGCAGCAACAGCAGCAGAACACAGCAGCAGCAGCACCAGCAGCAGCAACAGCAGCAGCAGCAGCAGCAGCAGCAGCAGCAATACCAAGTAGATAGATCTGAATGTTTCAAAGAAAGGAAGCAGCTGCGGGGGGAGGCTGTTGGCCCCCAGCGGAACGGAGACAGTGGGGGCCTTCGTTTGCTGCCAGATAGACATAGCATCGAACTCTCCCTCAGCAACACATATCATGTCTCCTGCTGCTGCTGCTGCTGCTGCTGCTGCTGCTGCTGGTGCTGCTGCTGCTGCTGCTGTGGAGGAGGAGGAGGAGAAGGAGGAGTCGTGGGGTGATACTGCTGCAGCAGAAAAAGCAGAACCCCCGGAGTCTTTTTCACTCCTGCGGCCCTGTCTGCTGCTGCTGCTGCTGCTGCTGCTGCTGCTGCTGCTGCTGCTGCTGCAGCTATTCCATAGCTGCCGCAGCACCACGTCAGCCCCAAAGAGGCCCCAGGAGCCGCTGGCCCCGAAAGGCTCCAAACGCATGCAGCTCTTGTCGTCGATGCTGCGAACCTTGATGCGTACAGGCATGGGTCTTGCTGCTGCTGCTGCAAATATCGAAAGCTGCAGGTATCCCCACAACCCGCAGCAGGAGCTTGCAGCAGCACAGCAGCACGAGCAGGAGGGGCAGGATAAGGAGCAGCAACAAAAGCAGCAGCAGCAGCAGCAGCAGCAGCAGCAGCAGCAGCAGCAGCAGCAG